AAAATCCATACTGTATAATATGTATAATATCTAATACTGTATAAATTATTAGAAACTTAATGTATTTAAATAGTTTGTTTAACTTTAACACAATTTGGTATTATTATTTTATTTACTACAGTAATTATGTTTATCAAATTTTCTTACATAATAAGATGGCAGTAAATAGATTGACAACATTTATAATGTAATAAATAAAAGAAAAAATATTATACTGCATGATAAAGAAATTTTTCCTTTTGTAATTTAATTTAATTAATGTAATCGAATTTGTTTGATACAACTTTAATACAACTTAACATTGTTATTTCGTCTACTAATAACTTGATCAATCACTGAAGAATTAAAAAAGTTAATCAATCTCGTATACACTCAATTATTAAAATACGTAACGATATTAAATTTCCAAGAAAGGATTAAATTAAAGTGAAGAGACTATTTATTCTCGTTGAAAATTTATTCTTTCATATTTATATTCAGCTTTCTGGGAATAATTAGGTAACAATTTTTAAAACTTCGTATAAATTTAATTCAATAGTTGGTGCAATGTTATCGTTATATTTTGTGGAATTTACAGCTCTTGCAATATTAAATATGGTAATTACGATTCTCAACACAAACAATATTCTATGCTCTATGAGCGAATTTTTAATTATTTCAAGATATTACTTTCTTCTTTATCAAACAAAAGTGCAGGATAATTTTTATTACGAATCTTGATAACATTACAATATATAGTATTTATTAAATCCAAAATTTATAATTCTCACCAGTAATAACTATTATTCTTGACACGAACAATTCTCTATTTTCTGTACATACTTTATAAATACTTTATTGTTATTACAGTATTACATATATAATATATATACAATGGCTTGAAAAGATGCTACAACTTCCGAAATATATATGTATACACATTGTAAATACAATGGATATTTATCGAAAAATAAGAGAACTGTGTAGGATTGATGATAAAATGAAATATTACAAGCGAGTAAATAAGTAAACCAATAAATATATCGAGAAAAATTAGGGCTGCAGTTCCGCAGTGCCTATGCACGAACATACCCCTGCGTATTATTATATCACTCTTTTCTTTATCAAATTATTTTTCAAATAAACTTTTCAAGTAGGACAACTTTTATTACGAATCTTTGTAATATTTTTTAAATATTTATTAAATCCAAAATTTACAAAACCCGCCAGCATTAAGCACAGTGTGCTACAATTTTTGTCGCAAATGATATTCCGTACTATGAATCCAAACATTAAATTATTTCAAGGCATAGCTTCATCCTTGTCAAATTGTCCCTCGAACAAACAATACGCGACGATTTTCATTCATCAAAAACCTGATAACGTTTAACCAGGTCGTACCTGGGAATTTAATATCAAGTATTTAATTACGAAGAAAGTTGTTGCGAAACGGATCGCGCTGTTTTTCATTGCGAAAGTTGATAAACGGTGGATATGGAAATGAAATACTCGTTCGTGCGACATTCTATCTATCGCGACGTTCTATCTATCTCGGCCATGTTGTTCTCGATATTACAAACAACACGTGACGTCAAAATGCATCGACACTGTGACGTAAAAGTACACGTACGGAGGGGTTGTACGGCTGATGGAATCACATGCTCTAACGGCAAGCCCAGCTTCGTACTACACGTGCATTGAAAAAAAAAGAAGAAAAAAAAAAGAAAGAAGGAAAATATAAAAAACGGGCGGGGGAGGAGGGGCAGAAAAAAAAAGAAGCGGTACGATATATAACTCGCTGTGCGCTTTAACTTTGTACCTTTAAGGGTGAACGGTGGTCGCTCTAGTCACGATCGATAGACTATCTAAAGCTGCACTCACCAGGTCTTTGCTTTACTGGATATCACTCGATATCTTTCAAGAAATCGCATTCGAGTGTAGTCGATTGATTGGAACAGAGGCCCGCTTATATCACGTCTCGCTCCTCGCTGAATTTTTTCCGGCACACCCTCGTCATCCGGTTCTTTGATTAACGGCTTACTTCGACATTCTCGGCTTGGTTGGTTGAATCTTTTTAATTTAACTATATATCGCGATATTAAGTGAACGATTCGATTTGTTCTGTTAATAACATTTACGCGTAGCGAGACGATGAAATACTCGTGTCTGGCTAGTTACGGTTTAATACTACTTTCCAGCTACTTTATAAGACTTTTATCGTTTACTAGATAGCATATTTACATTTTACAGAATTTACACTTAGGAGATTTTATCTATAGAATAAAAATAAAATTATTTAATGCAAGAATTAATACAAAATATTGAATAATATTACCTATGACTTACTAAAGACATGGATTGCAAATTCAATTAATTTCTCGAAAATTGTACTAATTAAATATTGAATATATATATGTATATGTATATTAAATAATTTTATATTGAATAATATTAAAAATTGAAAATATACATTTACATTGTATATCAAGTAAATATATAAGAAATTTTCAAAGAGTAAAGTGAAATAATAATTACTTCGTCGAATGTATAAAATTAATGTGAAACGTAATCAACAGTACGAAACTGAAAATCCAAATTAAAAAGCAACAAGGTAAACAACAGTAACCTGCATTTCTGCAGATAAAATTCCTGCGGAATTTTCTTCAACTTCGTTCCGTAATTGAAAACTCTGACTGACGTACTCCATTTCTGTTGACCGTTTTAGCATCGTCACTTAGAGGAGGATATTACTTTCTGTAAATATGTGAATTTCAATTTAACTTCGCAGCTACGTCGAATGAACAGATAATGCTCATCTTCCATTTTGTGGTAATTCTCATTTATATACCCATTTATTCAAATCTTTTCTGCTTTCCGTCTCTTTTATGCAATATCTTATTAATTATCTACAAGGTGGCACGTTTGATGAAATTTACGCAAGAAATTATAGGAATTCCGTCTCATTCTCTAATTTTTGCGATATATTTTGCAGTAGCATCGTAAATAATATTGGAGAAACTTTATTCAGTTACATCAAGATCATAGATTGTTTCCTTACAATTAAATCGGAAATTAAATATAATTCACTGTCTCTTTAGATATTAAATTATGAGATATCATTATTTCCCTTGCAATTTTGAAATATTTTAAAATCTGAAATGAAAGTATAAGATCAAAATGAAATCAGTATTGTCAAAATTATTACTGTTTAAAGAGTAGAATAAATTGATCCCCAATTTTTTATCTGTTCCCTATCACTTTTCCAGAATTTTTATCGATTGTTATGTGATTTTTCTTATGAAAAAAATTGCCTTAAAGTGTCAAAAATTTACTGATCCTCACTGTACGTAATTTAAGTATTTATAAGACGAAATTACAGTATACATTGCGTTAGAAGAATTAATGTTATTGAAATGATAACTGCTGGAAGACTAAAACACTCGTTGGACTCGAAAAATCCCGCTTTGAAACACTTAAATTATTCTTCCCCTCTAATCCAGGTAGCATAAAGCGAAAAAACGCATTACTCGAAAATAGTTGGCATAAAGTTAAGTTAACAATAGTTCACTTGCGTCAAAGTTTTAAAACGGCACCTGCGAAGCATCCTCCAATACTGGTGTTCAAACTTCTTAAAATATTGCATCCTTATAACTTTTGACTGCGAGTCGATTTCCTTTCCATAGTGCCACCACTTATTATATAATCAATCATTTCTAAATTATGGACGTAAGTTTCCCAGCATTGTCTATTTTTGGAAACGTTGAATTATGTAAATGAATTTTTCACTGAAAAACTTCGGCTATTTTCGTTCCATTTTCAAACATATAAAAAATATCCCAAGCTCGAAGAAAATATTCAAAAACTCTTACTTCTTGCACAATTTACTACATCAGATATCTTTTTAAAAAAACATTACAAATTTCTTCGTTTCCTAAAATAAAATTAGGATGAAATTATTAACTGTGTAATCATTAAAATTATTAACTGTGATTACGTGATTCTAAAAAAGTATAATTCTAGGAAATAATAAACTTTCAATTTGGAATCGAAAATTGATTCAATAGACACTTTTTAAATCTAATCTCTTCTATTGTGAATTTTTTTTTTATCTGAGAACTGGAGATCTAGTGAATTCAACCTTCAATCTTCTCTTACGCTGCCAGCTTGTTTTCCCTAGAGAACACAGTAACAGGACTACTATACTTGTATATCGAGAGGAAATTGGTGCTGGGATGGAATTCTACGAGGGTTTATTTTCCCCTGACAAGTGTCAATCGACTTTAACCGTTTGACTCTCACACGCGGCGCGTTCTGTTCAAATTTCATGTCGAGAAGACCAACTACATTTGACCGCGACGTGCAACTGTCGATTCGTTTGCATTCTGTCGAAGTCAGGCCGGCCGGTTTCATGTGAACCATATAATCAATTTATATCAATTGTTTTCATTCAGTGAAAAATTAGTTAAAATTAGTTAAAATATTTATAAATCAATGATACTAATATACAGCGTCAGAATGAACAGGGAATGAATTCCTCACAAAACGAAAAACAAGAGAAAAATATAAAATAAAATTGTTTGATTTGAATCTTCCGTTTTCGAATAAATGTACTTGTTTTACAAAACAATGTGAACATCTTTTATTTGTCGTAGGAAAAAAATATTGCACATTAAATTTTAGGGAATCGTTGCAAAGCAACGGTAGTTTACTTACTTTTTTTATTTATATATCGCGGCTCACAGTTCTCTACAATTCACAACTAAATTATTGAATCCAAGTCCCCTAATATTCGATTCGCCAAAAGTAATATTCGAATCACACGATTTACACTTTATAATACTGGTTAAAGTTGTAAACAGCGATGCAAATTCAATTATTCTGTATCCGCGGATTTTTTATTATACCCCAAAATAAGTCGTTTTAAAGGCTAGGACCTTTTGTATCTCACTTCCAAAACTTCAAACTACTATTTAAAACAAAAAAAAATCGATTTTTTTTTAAATTTCACATTGTCCTGGTCCCTTAATGTTTTGTATCGTCTGGACATAATTCGTTCAGCAAACAGTGCCATGACCATTAACACCTGGGCAACTGATGAATCGGCTTTGCAGAGTGATTAGGCTCATTTAGAAACACGGTGTAAATGAACGTGAAATGCGTTTGCACTTGTACAACTTGTACAAAGGGGATCCCGGCGCAAATTTACAGCGGTGGAAAGCGGCTAGTTTAATTTCAACGGGAGCAACGTTTCCGAGAAATGTGCGTTCACCGTTAAACATCAAAGCGCTTTAGGGTTTTAGAGATATACAAGTTCCCGTACGTCACCGGTCTATACGTCAAACGTTCCTTGATTCGATGAAATGCAGCCTCTACTTTGCCCAATTTGTCACGGATTAGTGGCACCGTGCTAGCAAGGTTTATACTTAGACTTCAAAGTACTGGACATCAATAAAATACAGTGCTGGTGCATGTTCTGAAACGGCGCTATAATTTTCAAAGTTCGCCTGCCTTATATGGGGAAATTTAGCGAAGGAAGATACAGTCTTTTTTTCACTTCTTAATAAAGCTTGAACGTTTGAATGTGACTTTATAATAATTTCAACCCTTATTCATTCTTCATTTTAATTTGTCCTTTGGCACAATGACAAAGTATTAATATCTGCGACGAACAAATAAATAGCACAATTTAGAAATTCTTTCACTGACATATACACATAAAATATATTAAATACGATAATTCTAATTTTTTAATTATTGATAGTTTGTGTAATAACGTTATTTGAGGATCGTAACACGAATTAATTAATTTCTCGTCTCGGTTTGAAGCACAGATTGTACTCCTGTAGAAATTGAGAATTGTAGATATTCTACGGAATGAAATTCTCTCGAAGAGTTAATATTCAAATCAGTTAAAAATAAGTTTCATCATGTCACATCAGTGCGAATGAAAGGAAACTAGTGAAAGGACTAGGAAAACTAGAAAATTCTTTGAAACCTAGCAATTACCAAATACTGCCTTTACCAAATTAGATATTAAAGATATTAAAGATATTAAAGGAACATGCAACGTCAGTTAATTAAGAAAACGAACGTAATTTGCGTGAATAGTAGCAAAAAGTTTAATATCACTTGTTAAATGAAGACTCTTTAGCAGGGAATATTACTAGCGAAATTCATTCGAATTTATGACAAGAAATTTAATAAAGAATGTATATCTATTTTGATAAAGAGTGTATATCTTCTTATGAAAATTTGAATATTGAGGACCTGTAATCTGAAAAGTTACGATTTTAAGAACATAATTTGTTTATTATGTTATTAATATAATTCACCAAACTTCGAATCTTACAAATATTATAATAAAACTTGGTGTCATGCCGCAATAAAAAAAAAGATCATGCAACAATTTTTAAAGGGGCCATTGGCAGGCTTCGATTTTCACATTTATTGTAAATTCAGTCACGTGAAAAATTTCGTTTTTTCAAAGTGTTTTTACAGTCGACGGAATTTTTGCAATTTCTGAGAGGGGAAAATATTTCGCGACAAAAATCGAATTTCATTTTTGAAAACAACGAACTGAAGAGTACAAAAGCCGAGGCTTCGAAGCGTTACAAAGCGAATTAAGACACGGCAAGATATTAAACCCTCACTCTCTCTATTTACGTTTGCGGCCATATATCAAGCAAATCCTCGGAAATATTTCACGAATGTACGTTTCGATGATAAAATCAATAACCCCGACCTAACCTCACCGTGAAATAACGCTTACGCACATTATCGTAAACAGCTAAACATATTTTTAGAGATTTCCCAAGCACTTCCCAGTGAAAGTAACGAAGTTGCAGCACGATCCACTAAAAGCTTAAAGACTTTCGCGGGTGCTCGAGGCAGAGATAATTCACTCGACAGTTTCCAAATTTCAACTTACCCGAATTACAACTTTCGTTTCGACCTCCAATATATAACAAAAGATTCGCAGAACAATCTCTCTCCCCTCGAACGAAAACCCCGCGCGACAGAGGAGAAGGAGAACGGTCAACTTTCAATGATATACTTCGTGCGTTTCGCGTTCTGAAATTTTCCATGGCGGGTGACATCTCGAGGGCGGGGGACGGCACACTCGATCGTGTGTAATAAATATAAACGTGTACAAAGGCATTCTTACGTGCATGGACGTCAAAGGGCAGGTTCTGCCGTGGCGAGGCTTTCGTCTCGTATCGGCAGGTGTTAGTTGCGCCGAGCACTGCGAACCGTCACGCACGTAGACGGTTGTACGCGACGGCGCTTGGCAAAAACCCCCCTTCCTCGCCATCCTCGCCGCTGAAGGATCATCGGAAGAGCGGACTGTCCCTTACGGGAGGTGACCCACTTAGCCGTTTGGCCTGGAAGTCACGGGCGAGCGCGAACTTACGGACGAAGCGTCATCCGGCCTCCTCGGGGGCCGCGAGGAGACGGCGTCGGCAACACGCGTGGCTCGCCATCAGCCTCGTACGCGAGCTTACGTGCTTGTGTTTGTGTGTGTATGTGTGTATATATGTGTATGCGTATGTGTTTGTTCGTGTGCGCCACGCGAGAGTTCGGCTTCGTAGGCATCGCTCTCCGGAGGAGTCGGATGCCCGCAGCGAGGTAACGCACAAAGACAAAAATATTTTTCCTTATCTCTCTCTATCTCTCTCTCTATCTCTCTCTCTCTCTCTCTTTTATAGTAGCTCGCCTGAGAAATGGCCCTCCGTAATTGCGAATTCTTCCCCATCCTCCCTTATCGGAGAATCCGCCGGCGATTTAACTTATTTCCCGATTGTTCAATCGATCGGAAATTTAACTGAATGTGAACACTTTTCGCGATAACGTGAACGAGAGATTCCAAGATCTTTTTGTTTTTTTCTTTCGTTTTCTTTCGCGAGTGTTTCCTTAGTGTCGTTGAATTTGAATAAGGGAGGCAAAACCGACTATTTTTTTAAATATATAGTCGTTCGAGGTATTGAAATAACGGGATATTGGATTTAATTTAATTGCGCGCTCATGTTACAAAATTGAACCAGTCGAAACGTGGAAAGATCATAGCAAAAGTTTAATTTTAACGTTCGCGTTCAAAATATAACAAATATATATAAGCCGTAGATTTTCTACGCTGCTGACCGCATTATAATCTAGTAAATTATCCGTCATTTTGTTCTCAGAAACTGTTCTTCACAGATAAGACATCGAGATAATCTAATTTATTATTTATTGATTTAAAAATGAAATATCAGAATGCGCAGTGTGACGATCTTGTGACTGATTGTACATGTTAAAAATAATTTGAAAGAAAAAAATTTCTCTTGAAATTACAACGTTGGTTGCAAACAATCGTTCCAGAAAATTGAGCAATAAAAGTCTCATGAACATCCACGTAGTAAAGGTTTACAAATTATTCAAAATGAATCTCTATATAATTACACGAAAATTAATGAAATTATACATTTCCAAGTAAAATATGTAGTGTATAGTACAATAAAACTGCTTCCAGGAAAATTGTAATTATTTCCTTCGTTATATTCTTGTATTTATTTTCTTTTTTTCATCTCCCTTTACATTCATTAACCTTCCATTAACTCCTCGTTTCCTCATTTTCCACCTCGATGAAACAGTCCGATAGATACGCAATTGTATCGTTGTCATACCCTTTTCTGATAATTCCCCTCTGTTTACGAGCTATTTATTTCTTCTTCGATGTCAAGTAGCGATAAAAATCAGACCGTTTAAATTTTTAAAACGTCAATTTCATCTTTTTTTCGACATGAATTTTTCACTTTGGACGGTCAACATTCACTCTGCGTTTTTTTTTTTCCAAATGATCTTCGTTATTGTAAAGTCTTCGTTATTTCCTCGCTGTGAAATGTAACTCGCTATATGAAAATTCGCTACAGAGAACGTAATTTTGATGCAGAGCGTAGCTTTTCGAATCCGTAGTTTCTCCCTTGTGGCACGAGGAGATCGTTCAGCTCTACTAAATCGCGAAGTTCGTTAATCTCGTGGATAAAAGTAAATCACGTGTGAGAGATTTGAGATCGTCGATATGCTAACGGAGTTTCTTCTGAGAAGTTCGATATCACTGTGAAACTGTTAAATTCTAACCAATCCTCGATGTGAGAATAATGATACGTATTTTACAGCGTCATCATTAGACTGCCGATGTTTGTGCATTATTGAGAACTTTAATAAATTCTCATAAATGCAGGAATTCACAGAATGCACGTAACATGCGAAAATATTAAAAAGACATCCGGAACAAAATATTCTTTAATTAAATTGCATAAAATGCATAAAGTGCAGTTCGTTCGCACCATCAATCATGAAATCAATATGCGCTATATGATTGATCATTTTTTGCAAATTAATTATATCAAGTCTCGTCTTCTTATCAAAAAATTACACCTACCTATCATAATATATGTATTTCCACTTTCTTTGAATTAGATAATTATTATCTGCAAAGAACATCGTACTGAAACTCCAATGTTAATGATACAATAAATATTTCAATAAACTTAAATCGTTCATCAACCATAAGTTCAATATTTCCTGTAATAATAAATAATTCTATTAATATCTCAAATATCGTACATTATATTTTCAATTTCGTGTTATATTTGAAATATTTATAGCGTCCGTTTTCATCCTATTTACGATTATAAACATTTATCCATACCATATGCTCCTTCATTCAATGTCGATAAATTATGTACATTATCCACTGGACTTTTTAATAATACGATTTTTAATATACGAATGAATTCGTTATGTATCCTAATATCGTATAAGTACAGCATTATATAGAAAATGTGCAATACGATGTATAATTAACAGTATCGCGAGCATTACAACTAATTGTAAGCTTATCAACCAACAACTGGCGACTTCAATTGTGCTACGACTTTTCAGACTCTCTCTCTCTCTCTATATATATATATATATATCGCATACCCCATTCTTACCGGGCCCGATGAAGTCTAGGTTTTTCCCAACGTCCAGATTTTTCCCGCTACCTGGCCCATTGACCTTACCTCGCCTTGTCACTTAACCTATTAACCCTTTTGCCAGTTAGCCCATTCGATATGAGGGCAACGCGGTAAGCGAATTCGCCGTTTAGGCCCTTGCATCACGTCGTACGAGCAAATAGGTCATTTTTTTTTTTTTTTTTTTTTTTTTTGAGTAATTCTATTGGACAGCGAAAGGGTTAAACTACGAGGGTTGTTAGTCTTGTAACTAAAGCTAGAAAACCTGCAATTAGAATTTCCGATACTACAATTATGTCGTGATTAAATGTTAAAATTAAAAGCTGTTTTATTTTAATATACTTTTTTAATTTTAAAAGCTGCGTATAGAAGTTAATTTTCGAAGCTGTGTATAAAAGTTTTCTGTGATGAATGTTCAAATAACTTTTGCAAGCCAGCCTTAAATTCATTATTTAAATATCACTGGAAATCTGTCTACTGTTGTAGAGAGGCGACCATTTCTAGTCTGACTTGTAATCAAAAATTCGGAACATCTGGAAATAAAATGTTTGTCAGGTCATAAAATAGTTTCATGAGCTTTGGCAAATAGAAACGTTAGTTCCATTATTACATTTGCATTTGAAGTCCACATTTTTTTTTTTTTTTTTTTATATGAAAAAGTGTTTTAAACAAGAGTTAAAATGGTTGTACACTGTAGTAATTAATTTTTCGTTATTTTGTATTTTTTTCTTGAGACACGAATCCGTCATCTTGAGTTTTTTTGTATAAAAAAAATAGACTGTGCTACATTATTTGATCTTGCAGTTCTTGCAAATATTTGCAAATGACAATGTACTTACAATTAATAATCGAAATGATGATTGAATATGTGGAAAATTTATTTAAAATTTATTTAAAAAATTGCAACAGTAGTTTATCATACGTGTGTAAACGAATGCGTATTTATATAAACTTTGATATTTGATACCTCTGCACGACTGTATTTGCAACCAAAAGAAGCAAACATTCGTTTTGGACTCACAAAAAAGTAATAGCGCACATGTGATCCACGAATGTAATCCTCGAACCTATCTCCAAAAGAAAATTAAATTCTGAAAGAACAAAATCAAAGTGTTGTATTTTTTTCAAAATATGTTGAAATATTTGAAATAACTAGATTTTTAAATAAAAATATTTAATAATGCACAGACTATTACGAAAGAAAATATGATGAGAGAAAAGGAATAACAACATTTCATTTTTCAGCTGTATTATTTACGCTGTATTTACACTTTTTAAAACATTCTTTATTAAACGTTTCTTCGATTCTCATTGTTAAACCTTAAACTTCAATAGAGAAGTTATTAAAAGTTCGTGTTAAAAGTTACTAACTTGCTTTTTATTTTAACAAAATAAGTTAAGATAACGTAATTATAATAAGTTAAAATAGTATACATTGTTTTTTTTTAAATTTAAATAAGCATTGCAGAACATATTACAAGCGAAATTAATTTTCTTTTCAATAAGATATCTTCTCTCAATAAGTTTTAAAACTGTAATATTTACTAATTAAAAATTTTAAATTTAATTAAGCATTATTTTGTTGAAAAAGAACACAAAATGATTCAAAATATATATCCAAATCATAAAAATTTTTCTTAAGCTTAAGTAAAACATTAAGAATCGTTCTATCGTTAATTAAATTGCATAGATTTTAAACAGATTTTCACTCTAAATTCTTGCAAAACGGGGAGGTATTTATTAATTAACGATTCTTTGCGTGGTTTTTTTTCCACTGCAAAAATTTAATCCTGCCAACATTCCTATCGTTTCTGTCTCTCGATAAAATAATACACTTAGAATCTGTGAAATTTATTGAAAACAATAACAGTAATTGCAAGTAAGTTAATATCGTTTGATTAAAAACTTATTACTGTACTTGCAGATTTCACAAAGAGGAAAAGTCATTACCTGTTTCATTAATTTAATTCTCTGATCTCACATTATATAATTATTTGCTAGAACATGTAAATATTCATATTTTTTGGATTTCGTTCTTACTTGACAAATGAAAATGTTGGTCATACAATGTTATTAATGAGTCAAACAATAATATTATTAATATGATTAATTAATAAGATTAATAATATTATATAACAATTAATATCATTAATGAGAACAAAATTAATGTTAATAAGTGTGAGCTTGATAAACAAAATAGAAAAGCAAAGAGAAATAGAATTATTGTTAATATCTCTCGTAATATGATATTTCTATTTTCTTGATACTCTTCTTAAGAATTAGTGTTTTAATATGAAATATGCTTAACGTATCTTAATGTAATGTAATATACCTTAAAATGAATTTAATAACAAATTACAACTTACTTGTTACAACATAAACTTTCTATTAATTTCTCTCTGTTTTACTAGTACAATTCTTGATATTTTATATACTTACAAAACAAATGTATCACAAATTCTTTCCTTTCGAACGTGTATAAAATCTCTCTTCCACTTCTGATTTTTGTCCAAATCTTCATTTCATACACAAAAACAATATCTGAACGAACCGAATCGTAAATTATATGCGTAATAATTTAATTATCTCAAAACGCGCATGTTAATGTGCTTGCAAATTTAATAAATTGGATGACAAACGAATAATAATGCAAATTATCAGAATTTGTTTACAATTCAACGGCTTCATATTTTCTACAATCCTGAATAAAACTGTTTAATAAAATATATTGCTCTCTTTTAACAGGAAATAATAAAATATTATTAAACTAGCATTCAATCCAGTAGACGGTCAAATTATTCAGACAAATATATATATATATACGATTTCATAGTACCAGCATATAACAGAATTCCATTTATCTCTAATCATCACAGAACAAACAACCGGTATAACGGTTATATTATAACTAGATTATTAGTATAACAAATATTCATTGATCCTCCTTTCTATTCTTCTTTCACTCAAATAACCAGTGTTAATATCCAGATAAATGAATTCAATTTCATAGTACACATGGTAACATTTGATTAATCGAATATTAATTGAAATTTTGCGCTAACAAGTGGAATTCAGATAAATGGAATTCTGTTATAAATTCATACAATTATCTTGTAAAAGGGCAATTTGAACTTTCCAATTTTACCGGCTAGATCCTTTGATGAAGTGTAACGTAATTTTATTTCATTTATTTCAATCTTGTTTCATATCTTGTTTGCTCTATCACTATCGTGATCATGTTGTTTCAATGAACGTTAATACAATATTCAAAGTCCACTTTCCTAAAAATGAAGCTTTAAATACAAAGTCTTTTCAACTCTACACTTTTTACTTACTTTTACATCTCTTGTTAATTGTTTTTTTCTACGTCTAGAATTAGTCTCAAATTCAAGTATGCTTGGTCAGTTTTTAAGCCCAATTTTCTCGAAAACGAACTGTCTTACAGAAAAATTTTACTCCACATGTTTCGAGGAATCACCTCCCTCCCTCCTGTTGTCGAGATTGCAACTACAATGGAGGATAGAACAACATAATGTCAACATTTCAGTGCTCCTGTGACCACTGTCTAGTGGCAATGTAATGCCAGGTTTCCTGCCATCTCTAAACTTTGCAATGCACCTTGCATATAGACAATTCCATACCATCTAATAGCTCGTACGTGACGATGTTCGAATCGTTAACCAACCTTGGACATCTGCTGACTCTCATTTCATCTCCGAAGCATTTCGTTTATCTCTCTAACCGCCCGCACATTAATCCTTAAATGCACACCATTATAAATTCGCAACGCTTTATATCTATTAAATCTACGTATGATTTTTGATAATAAACGTATAATATTTAAAGAATTGTTCATTTAAGAGTCAACTCTGCTGCGTTCTTTCGGTCACCTTCATAACCGCATACATTTCTCTAAAAAGTTAACAAATGACTCGAATCAGTAATTAGTAATAATTTGAACTCTAATATACCAACTTTAATAGCACTACGGTAATTTTAACTGTTTAATTTAAATGAAAATGCGCTATGAACTCTTCATATTGCCTGATTTATTCAATTGCAACATTCAAGTACAACTGCAGTGTGTTCGTTGAATTATCACTTAAAAAATGATATCATTCACAAATTATAAAATCCAAATCAACAAATTATAAAACGTATGAAATATATAAAAATTTCATATTATAATGTATACGAAATAATATGAAACGTATAATATAAAAGTAAAGAGATCAAAAATAAAATATTTATAATACTGAATTCTTCGTATTGATTGTCGAATATTTTATTTATGGCAAATGCAAACGCCGTTTCGACAGGAACCACCTTTACGACGTTGCGCCAAGCAACTGACAGTACAGGCAGAATGAAAATTAACGTTCAACCATTTTGATTGAAATGATGAAACGTCGCACGTTACTCTGCGATGTCGAAGTGATGCCAGATCAATCGAATCATCCCCCACTGTCTCTGTCGCTTCGTCATTAGTGCCTTCAATTTCTCCTAATGAAATATTTAAATTTAATTTTTATTGAATGTGTTAATAACGTAACAATAAATTATTATTGTAAATAAATTAACATAAATAATTATAATAATTTAGTATCTAACAAATAGCAATAATTTGGCCTTTTTTTAACATATTCATTGTTATTGTTCATTATTGTTTTAATTATATATTATTCGTCGTAATTTATGTAATTTTAATCGTTTAGAGAACATGTTTGACACAAATTAAATAACATTAAACATGATGACAAATATTCTATTCAATGATAAAAAAAGATAATATTTCTCGCTGTTCTTTTCACAAACATTTAAAACAATTCTTTTACGCTAGTCACAAGTGTGAAACGATCCAGGATTAGTGTAACAGGGTTGATCAACTGGTAAAAATGTTCTAGCAATGAGAATCCTTCAATCGAGATGTGATTAATTTAATGTAAAGTTTAAAATGTATTTCGCTTGCGGAAAATAAGAATGTCGTATTTTCGAAAAAGTTTGCAACATATTTTAAAGTGATTGGAAACTCTTCTACGATGATACAGTAATTTAAAGTATGAAATTATTGTCAAAGTATAAAAATAAAATAACAATACATCAATATATATGTATATGTTATAATGAATATTGTAACTTCTGTAATAATTTATCTTCTATTTTAATGACATAATAATTTAAAGCAACACGAATAAAAATTGCTTACTTAGTTCGTAAATTGGACCATCGTAGATCACATCCGGAATAATTGCGCCTGAGACGTAGGTAACGGTAGCAAGAACGCAAAAAAGAACGAGAACCCTCATAATACTTCGAGTAAAACTATATGATAGTACTATTCTCACTTCCAGATGCTTGTGTCAACTTGGAATGATGTCGCTCAGATGAAAACAATTGGCTTATATACTCCTTCAACGCGATTTGCTCTGCGTGCTTTCTTTCTTAGCCACTTCCATGACCGCAAAATTTCCTGTCACGACTTTCCTGTTCCATGGTGGAAATCCCCATCTTGTTTACGTATGAATGAAGATGAACGTGTGTAACATTCGTGGTGTATATCATAAAACAAACTAATACTAATTCATTACCTGACAAAGATATTATATATATGTACATATATCTCGGGATAAGATACGAAAGAGCATAAGTTATGATTATTAATTTTACAGGGAAGCAGAGGAGACAAAGGCGCTAATTGATTAAATATTTGAATTTCTAATATTTACGAATAAATCACTGATACTTTATTGACTTGTTGCGCACAAACGGTTAAAACACTTGCTTGGGTATTTTAAAAATTACTTGAGCCGTAAATTGAATCGTTTGATGCAAAGATGGTGTACAAGATACAACTTTTACAATGGTTCATATATAAGAAATGTGACAGAATTGAATTCTTTGGCAGTATAGTTTGATTCAATTGTAATTTTTATTGTATATAGATTGAATTAGCCGAGGTTAGTTGAACATGACATTTAAGAGACGTTTTATATATTTAAGAGAAGATAACAGTATTAACAAAAATTAAACATTATGGTTTTACTGTACCTTTTGTTATAACTCACGATATCAAATCGATATCGTCAATGTGAGAACGAACTTTCTCGCGAGAATCTGACACCTTGGACATGTCGAACTATTGTGGAACTACTGTCAAACTTTCAAAAGTCGATGCTCGTTCGAATAACTTTGATACTTGTCAAGATACGTAACGAGATTCAATATGTAATAAATCTGTCGTGTGATATTCTTCGATAAATAATGAGTATTGTGTTGGATTAAAATTATATTAATAAAGAATCTAATGTAATTAATATACTCAAATAGTGTTAATCATAGAGTCTGGATCTAAATGAGAGCCCCGTTGTTTAAAAATGAATATTATTAGTAAAAAAAACTTCAGAGAATAGCACATACATTGATATACTTTGTAAGTGTATACTTAATTGTAATTTTGAAATTTCTCGAAAATGTAACATTCCTTGATATGATTCTTTTTCAGAATTCAGAAAAATGCAGGCAATTATTAATTATTTTGAAATATATCTCTAAAATATTAAGTTATTGTTTTATTGTTCGGACATTGCTAACGCATTTATTGTTTAAGAACATATATCGTTTGTTAAATTTATTAATGTAATCTATTCATCATCCTTTCGCGTATAAACTACCAATTTAATTCGATATTGATAGCACCTATTTATAATTATTAAAAAGAATCGTTTATTCGAGTAAATTTGTCTATTATTCCATTGAAATATATTGGATAAATTTGTATAAGATTTCGCATACATGAATTTATAAATTGAAATATGAACTTATACGCACTGTTCTTGAATTTGAGAGATGTTCGAAGCTCTACTTACAACGTAAGCTTATGTAATATTATCAGAACAAAGAAACAATTTTTAACTTGGAGAAAGAATGTTACCACGTGTGTGAAACTGTTGTACGTTTAATAATTTTCAATGCCCGTATGATGTACGTACCGTTGCATTTCCAGCAAAATAACGAGACCGATTCAGAAAAGAGAATATCGACTCACAACATTTGTTCTGGACATGTGTTGCGTGAATGTGTTTGCGTAATCCACTTTTAACAGGCGAAAAAATCTACATTGTTCAGACAAAGTCTATACTGGAGAAAAAGTGAAATGTAAAATTAAACAGTGATAATTATTATTATGCTGCATTCAGCAACGTTCTTGTATGTCAAATTATGTATTATGCCAAAAAATAATTTGAAACATTAGAGTGACATTTCCTTTCATTAAAGATTTATTAAAGAAGATAATATAAGAATATAAATAATATATATTTATATATATTTATAATAAATAATATATATTATATTGGTAACAATAATTGTTAATCTTCGAATAAATCTCCTATTACATTAAGAAAATATGTGTAAAAAAACTGACATAATATTTGACACACTATACACTATATAAGTTAATAAATAAATTGAATGAAAAATTGCTCCATGGAAAGAAATAATAAAATTATAAGAAATGATAAAATTATAGATAACATTTACACTATGAGAAGGAACATTTCATTTAACAGATAGAACCATTTATATCTTACAAAATTATCATCGATTCGTTTAATGATTTCTATTTGCTACATTTTCATTGAACAATTCAAGAACATAATTTCTTTCACTTCAGACGTACATATGTAAACATAGATAAACGTAAAATGACAAGGAAAATGCCGAGTAATATTTATTCAATTGGGGCAAATGTATTTGAGTCACCACAAGAAAGAAATTGACTAATCAATGAATTAACCATACAGAAAACAAACAGAATTCTTCTCTTCACATTAAACGACATAAGAATCAGAAAAATCGACAAAAATGAATTTTTGTATTTTTTTTTTCCATGTGATCTTCAGTTATTTGTGACTACAGTGAAAATTGTCTCGTTTGTTTCCAGATCAGAATTTCTAAGTCAAAATGAGGAGACAGTCGTACAGCTCGAATTTGAATGCCGGAAGCAGTGGCGAGCCTCAGATCATCGTCGAGGAAAGCACATTGGGAGAAGAGGAAACAGAATGCCGGAGGAACGAATCTCCACCGCGCTGCGTGGATCCCGACTCGCCATGCTTGAATCCTCATCTATTGTCCCCTTGGAGAGAAGTAAGGAAGCACTCTCTACCGACTCCGCAATGCACTTCCGGGATAACTGCATCACAGGTACTGTCTAACAATTATATCGGGAAGTACAAGCTTATGGACCGCATCCTCCTTTCTTGATAATATATTTTTAGTACATCCTGTTAAGTTGATAAAGTGTAACGTTGCACAAAATTTATATAACATATTAAATAACGCGTATATTTATATAACGTATTTAATAACACAATATTTAAAGAATATTTCAAGAAGATTAGGCGTTTTTGTTTGGCGCGTTTGGCGATTATGTATAAGAATTGAAAGACTTCCATTTATAAGAATGTACATCTCTGCCCAAAGTCTTAAAACTGGAAAAATAATACTTTGAAAAATTAATTCTTTGTAAACAATCCTTTATACGACAAAGAAAGATATTAATACATTAGCAATTATATTATAAGATACAAGCATAATTTAAAAACTGTATTATGTGCGAGGAAAAGTAAACCTAGAAATAAAAGAACCAATAAGTATCATATATTTATAAACTATAAATGCATTTTTCTTCAACGATTAAAAACTGCAATTAGATTTTTATAAATTCATACGAAATTTTAAGATGTAACCGTATCACAGAATGCGATACAGTATAAAAAACTGAAGTAGACTACTTATTAACTGAAGTATACTACTTTCAGGAAATCGAGTCTTTACCAAAGTTTTATAACTATATGAATTGCATAAAAATCCACGATGTAATTACAGCAAGAAGAAGACAGGAATTCATTGTTAGAATTGGTTAGAATTCATAGTTAGGATTCATTTCTCTGAACAGGTGAGACGATTGAGCGAGCGTGGCGGAGAAGGATCAGGACCATCGCCAAAAGAAACTGCTTTCCTGTCTACCCTTTCTCAAGCGCCAGCCCCACAGCCAGGTGGTCGAAGACACTCGGTCGTTACGATTTCCAAAGTGCCGACAACTTTGTTTGGTCGAAATCGTCGCGAATCAATCGGCGCTTTTCCTCTCGGTGGCGCGACTAGAATATTGCCAAATCGTCGGGACTCGGACACGAAAATAACGAGACCGCCGAGCAGCAGTGGAAGCACGCACAACCTTCAGTTGGACATTATGGACGATATCGCGGAAATAAAAGCAAGGAAGGTGAGATTAGGCAAACTGGCCAGATATTAATGAAATTAAAGACGGAGCAGTAATTTATTGCAACGGCACATTTACATATTTACAGATCAGTTGGAAAATATTCCATCCATTAATATTTTACATTCTAGTATTCTATATTTCATATTCATATATATCTTACATTCCACGTCTCATATCCCATATCCTACATTCCATGTCTCACATCCCATACCTTATATCCCATATTCTGTATCCTGCATTCCATATCCCATATCCCATCCACGTCCCTGTAACTGCATTCTTTCCAACTAGAATGTATGACAAAATTCACAAAATGTTCGCAACAGCTCACGAAATTCCACGCAAATCGTAAAACCGCAAGCCGAAATAAAATAAATTTCCGTAGTCCACGAACTTTCCACAGAGTTAATTCGCGGGTACTTGCGAAACTATTGGCTGTTCCACAATTTCTCACAAAACAAATGCAATAGCCCGTAAGGGCTGTTTCCTCGGGAATTCGTAAGCTATTAACAGCAATTTACAAAATGGGAATTTTCTGCAAACTATTTCAACAGTTCGTACATCGAAACAACAGACAACAACAAACTCGAGTTATAACACTTATCTATCTATCTGTCTGTCGTTTAACATCTATTTACCTTACAAACTAAAAAGCAATTCGCTTGACAGGTCCGTTTAAAGATGTACAAGACCTCGACGGAGCAGGTGTGCGAGATCCAATCGTTGGAAGGTAATCGTTCCACCCAGCGTTACACTCACTATCCAAAACGACGATTCTCTGAAATGCCTATCCCTTCGGTATCGCCGACGTCCTCCCTGCGAAGGCGCGGCTCGGAAGTGCCAAGATCCTCGAACACTTCCATTTCTGGCGCAACTGGCATCGTCTGCTCCAACACCGATCTGATATCGATCCTGAGCTCGTTAGCATCTTCCGCAACGGAGATCAATCAATGCGGCGAGGAAACGGCAAGTTCGCGGGACGAGGGCAAACAGAGCTGGTCCGGAAAAACATCCGAACAGAAGCGAAGTCGATTGAAAAGTTTCCGTTCGAACAGCTTCGACGTGTCGATCCTTCACGGAGCTAAAAGTAAGCTCGCTGGCTCGTCGAAGGCTGCCGCTTCGACCATTATGGCGCCGTCCAACTGGTTCACAAAGAGGCATCAGCCGATGTCGAAGAAACAAAAGCCAGAGGATTTAATAACGGCCAGCTTAAACTTTAAGTTTGACAAATCGAAGGTTGTGAAGGCGGTCAAGGAAACGTTTAGCAAAACGTCCCCCGGCACTGATCTTAGACATAAAGTCGTGTGGGACGACGCCAGTGGAACGAAGGTAGATGCTCAGGTCAGTTATGTTTCTTATTTTATATTTATTTGCCATTTAAAAAACGTGATGAATGAAATTTCAGCCAATTTTTGTATTATATCGTCCAGTGATAATGTCACTGTCTGTAACGATTATGACAATTTGTTTTTGAAATGAAATCTTCGAAGGAGCTATCGATGTTCATATTTGAACAACAACATTTTTCTTGAGATATACAGAGTAAAAGAGAGATAAGATGTTGCAAGCTATTTCCCGAAGCCATTGCAAACTCAAAAATTCTTAGTACAGCGTAAGTACTTAGTAGAAATTCAATGATGACAGTGGTCTAAAGTTTACATTTACAATATAAAATATTCTGGTCGTGAATTTCTTAAGGATACAAAGGGCTATTTTTTTTTTTTTTTTAATAAAATAACATTAATTTTTTAATATTCGAGAAAACTTTACAACTTTTCAACATCTAAGGCATTTTTTTATTTTCTTTACTTATTTTTAGTTAGTAATTACGAAATTTATTTTCGTTAATTTCATTTATTTATTTATCTTAATACCTGAGTTGATATCTGCAATGTTTTCAGGGAAAGTCACTTGTAATACTTTATCTGCCCCATTCTACGTATGTACCACATTTTATCTTGATAAGATACATTCACAGAAATATACTGAATTCATACGTCGTATACAGGTCATAAAAATGATCGATTTTTTTATACATGTACATATGTTAAAACTACACATCCACACATTTATTGCGTCCATTTAATCAATTCAGCCATTGAACAATTTTGTTTATAGGTATTGGGTAACGCGATTGAGAAAATTTTGACAGCACAAAGAGGGAGCGACGCGGAAGCATCCGGACCGAGCGGAAAAACTTCGGTATCTCCGAACAAACCAAAATCCAGCAAAGTGGCAAGTTGGTTTTCAAGCACCAGGGACCAAGAAGAAACCGAATCTTACGAATCATCTATTTGTTCTTCCCTGAAGGACTTATTCACCAAGTAGTATGGAAGCACAAATACGGGTCTCGTTCGTTTAATTAATGCTTTTTCATTTAAGAATTAACATGACATAAAGAGATTAACACGACCTAAATAGATGACTGATAATCTCGTTTAACTAAAATTAACGAGCTATATTTTTTTTCTTATCATTTTCGTCAACCTCGTACTAATATACACGAAATGTATATAAGTAGCTCGCGGAGGTATTCAAACACTTGTCAATTTAATAGAAAATTGTATTATGTGTGTTCCGCGAAACTTTTTGATATTTCATTAGCACTGTATTTTCATACCTGGAAATATCAAGTTAACCATTTCATTAAGACTATCATGATCATATTGGTAAGATTTGAAATCAATTTGAAAATGAATATAGATTACATAGACGTATATTTATTGCAAATATATATTTAATAAAAAATTGGCAATAGGACAGTAATTTTATAACTTACATGTATAATTTTGAACGTATAATTAGAGCTTTATAGTTCATTAATAATCGACTGTCTAAATATTTCGGTGATCAATAAGCATCTTGTAACTTCCAAATATAAATTTTCAAATTCATTTTAAAAATCAATATAATCGTGAATCAGTACATTGCTTGTGAAATTTCAAAACGTTTTAATATATCCATAAAAAGTATTTAAATATTTTCTATAAGTATTTAAATATTTTCGTGAGCCTTTGTATATATACGTACGTACATATGTATATAATAATTCGTTACAATGTTAGTGATAGTTTCGAAAGTGAACTATTTTTATTGTATATTTTTTTACTTTCCATATTACATTCATAGATAGCCAAGCGCCACAATACTAATTCTTATTTATCATACATACTTACAAATGCGTGTAATTCGTGAAACCGTTTCTAATTTTACGCAAATTTTGCAGTTGGTCGATGAATGCAAGGAATCATATGTTGCATACTATTCATTAAGATTCATTTAATGTATCTTTTTTCATTTGTCATCAGCCTACTATATTTCGATATTAAATTAAATTTTATAACTTTATTTCCCTTAAGTTGATGACAATATTATTTTTCAAATGAAAAATAAAAATTTTGTGTAGTAATTTTCTTTAACTAACGTTTAGTTATCGTTTCTATTTCATCATTATTATCATTTCTCTCATTATCATTTTATTTATTATTATCTCTAAAAGATAATAATATTGTTAAATATTAATAATTATTAACTTGTAAGTGGAGGATAATCCCGACAAAGAGAGATATTTATAGAAATAAATAGTTTCTATAAAATCAGAATTGATATTGATATGCTGTTAATGTGTGTTGCATTTCAAAATATTGCGAGATTCATGGCAAAGAAATTAAAAATAAAAATCCATGAAATTTCGTAGATTTAAACATCTCAGTGGATACAGCTTTCAACAAATAAATGTGAACAGAGATTTAATCAAATTCTAATTTAAATGAATGTGCGAAGGATTTAATCAAACTCTGTATTTAAATAACACATAGCATTTAATTCCAGAGTATAAATAAGCAACGATTCAAAGATAAAAATTTCGAGATGTAATTGAACAATATATTGTACAATAAATGTTATATGGTGTTCCATAAAGGAGAGTTGCTTTTTTTATGAAAAGATTCAAATATGAAAGAGATTGTTGTTAAACGATACGGTACGATGTTTCGAAATTCAAGTATTTTGATCTTGTGTGTGTGTGTGTGGGTATAGTGTATCCTGTACAAAAGATATCACAAAAAACGTTCGATCATAATGTGAAACATTAATAAAAATTCCTAATAACTAATTGCAAATGTTTCAGGTCCCAGAGGTCACTTCAGTAAATGTAAAAAGATATTTGATTATTTAATTTCATTTTCCCAATTGTATTATACATTATATACTAATATTAATCAATCTTTTTATACATATAATAATTCATAATATATAATACGTATATAACATTTATTTAGTGTATTTAAATTAATTTATATTTAAACAAAATAATTATTTAAATAGGTTTACCACATTATCAGCATTACACACATGTATCTAGTAAAGTATAATGTAGAAAGAATGTTTTAAAATTATGAGTATTTATTTAATTTTTACAAAAGATTTTTAAAGAAATAATATTTAATATACAAACATTATACGTTTCTATATTAAAAAAGTAAAGTTAAAAAATATAAAATCCAGCCTAGTATTTCAAGTACTAAATAGTACTTTTATATTAAGTACTATTTCCTAATAAGTAATAAATATAGATGCGTGTTTAGTATTTTTCTATAATTACGTACGTAAAATTAATTTTTATAGAAAGTGTTAAGAATAAATTATAAGAATAAGAATCATTATTTATAATTATTATTCTACAAGCTAATTTCAAATTAAATTATTATTTCAAATTAATTATTATTTTAAATGACTGAATAAAATACGCATAAAATATACATAAATACAGTACCTATAAGATGTAAGAATTTATACTTTAAACAGCAATCTGTTTAAAAATCAAAAATATTTTATACTTTATTAAATATTAATTTTAAAGTTCCTACATTTTCAACAATATTTCAAGAAAGGCACAATAAAACTAAAAAACAATTTTTCAACAAACAGATACTATAAATTTTTTAGTTTATCAATGTAATATATACTCATATTTCTAAAACATGATTTATACATCTTCATTAAATATATATATACTTTTTAATAATGACTTCATTTGTATAATAAAACCATAGCTGAAATCTCATGTAGATCATTGAGATGTATGTGATATTTCTGTTGCATCATCGACCATCGTTATACCTTGATAAAATAGTTAAGAAAGCAAACAATGCGTGCAATTTTATTAATATACGAACGTTAAACAATGAAAATAAATTTACTAAATGTTTTTAATGTTTCATTAAATATGACTGTTACATACATGTGTTGTTACTTGTACAGAATAACGTTGATGTAATATTCATATTGTATTTATGGTTTCACTATTCACGGAGTTAATAAAATCTACAGTTTCAAATATATGTCGTCTCTTTTATTACACGAGGATTTAATTATTACATTGATATTACATTGAATCTTCATCAATTTTAAATCTTTGAATAACATTAATAACTCGTTTATTAAAATTAAAACGTTTAAGAAAAAATCGAAAGCATCAGAGTTACAGAATTGAATTTGGACCATCACTAAGTATTTCTAATTTTATGTTCCAGTTTTTTTAATTCTGAGTTCCAATTTTTAATTAAAAAAAAGCACCTTTATTTAATTAAAACGTTTTCTAAGAAACGAAATAAAATATCGAAAAATTACATATAATTAGATATAAACTTGATCACCAGAAATAATATACTTCTATGTCAAAGTAACATGAATTCGTTAAATTGAAACAAATTATACATTTTTCATTCATGTATTAGATGCGGTATTTGGAAGAACTCAATATGGTGAAATAAAAGTTAATAAAAATAATGTATTCATATACATTATTTATATATTATTTATACATTATTTACACTTTATTATACATATACATTATTTTAGTTTACTTCTATTTCATCACATTTGAGATTCATCACTCCAAAATCAGAAAATTGCCAAAAATGAATTTTTTCCATATGATCTTCAGTTATTTGTAACTACAGTGAAATCAATGGAAAATTGTTTCGTCTATCTCTAGATCAGAATTTCTAAATCTCGAGGAAATAGTCGACAACTCGAATTTGAATGCGGGAAGTAGTGGCGAAACTCAGATCGTTGTCGAGGAGAGCACATGGGAGAAGAGGAAGCAGAAAACCGAAGCAGAAGAGAAACGAATCTCCGCGTTGCTTGAATCGCCATACTTGAATCCTTGTCTTTTGGAGAGAAGTAAGTCATTCTCTACTAACTTCGCAATGCATTTCCGGATAATTGCATCATAGATATAATTATATCGGGAAGTTACGGATCATCCCCTTTCTTGATAACATTTTTATATCCTATTAAACATAATTTTGCATAAAATTTATATAACACGCACGTATGTACATATTTGAAGAATATTTCCAAAAACTTGATCTTCTTCTTGATTGATCTTAAGGAATAACTTCTTTTACAAGAATTGAAACTTTTCTATTTATAAAATAGTTATACGTATATCTCTTTTCAAATTCTTAAGAGAAGTCTTAAGAAGAATTTGTTTTATAACTGGGAAATACATAATACTTTGGAAAAATTAAATAATTCTTTGTACAACTCTAAGATACTAATAGAAACTGTAAGATAATAACTGTACACATTTATAGTAACAATAACTGTAATATAAAGGAAAATATAAAAAATTTATATGAGAAAAAATACTGACAAATAACTGCTCCATTCAACGTTACACTTATTATCCGACGATTCTCTGAAATGCCTGCTTCCCTACCAACATGTGGCGCGGATGTATCAAGACCTCTGAATGTTTCCGGTGTAATTCGTCTGCACCAATACCGATCTGATAATCAATTCTGAGCTCGTTAGTATCTACCGCGAGAATCAATTAATCCGGCGAGGAAATCTTAAGTTCACGAGAATAGATACAAATTAAACTAGTCTGGAAAATATCTAAAGCGAAGTCGACGGAAAATGTTTCCGTTCGAACAGCTTCGACGTATTGATTCTTCGTGGAATTAAAAGCTTGCTAGTTCATCGAAGGCTGCTGGACCATTATGGCATCGTCAAACTAATTCACAAAGAAGCAACCAATGTCAAAGAAACAAAAGTTGGATTTGATAACAGCCAGCTTGAACTTTACATTTGATGAATCGAAAATTGTGAAGGCACTCAAGAAGACGTTTGGCAAAACGTCTCCTGGCAGTAATGTTAGACATAAAGTCGTATGGTACAATCCTAGTACATGCTCAGTTATATTTATTTTATATTTCTGCTATGTAAAAGACATAATGAATGAAATCTCACAGTCAATTTTTATTTTAACATTATCGTCCGGTAATAATGTTATTATGATATTGTCCGCAATGATTATCTGTGATTTAATTTATCTTTCAAATGAAATCTTCGAAAGAGCTATCGATAGATATTCATATCTTAACAACAACAATTTTTTTTTGAGATATACAGAGTAGGACAGATAAAGTGTTGCAAGCTACTTCTTGAAGCCATTGCAAACTCAAAAATTCTTAGGTATAAAGATACAGTTAAATTTTACATTTACACTTACAATGTAAAATATTCTGGGGGTGGATTTCTTAAGGGTAGAAAGCGCTACCATTTTTTTTCCTTTTTTTTAATGAAATGAAATTAATTTTTCGACATTCGAGAAAACCTTAACTTTTATCTAAAGCATTTTTTTATTTTATTTACCTATTTTGTTAGCAATTTTGAAAATTTATTTCTGTTCATTTCATTTTTTTATTTATCTTAATACCTTTTATTTATCTTAATATCTGCAATATTTTCTGAAAAAGTAATTTATAACACTTTATCACTATCCTATGTAAACTTATTTTGATAAGATATATACAATAGAAATATATTGAATTCACGTATCGTTAATATGTAATGACTAGTATAAATATAATGAAATGAAATGATGATAAAAATTTGTCGATAACTTAAGCTGATATAATTTCTTAAGAAAAGATCAGATACACTTACATGATCTCATTCTGAAACGTAAAGTTTAACAGTCACAAGCTTAGTCACAAGTTTCGACATTCGTTTCGGGTATAATTTTACATCATGCAGCTAGTGGGAAAGTAAGAATACTTTCTTCTCGAAAATTATTAAAATTCAATCGCATGTGAAAACATCAAACAAATTTTTTTCATGACTAAATCCACTATGATCTTGAAGATTGAAATCTTCTCCTTACGAATCCCTAAAATTTGCACTGCGATTTTTTTTCGACACTTTATTAAACTTTGTATATCAGGATTAAACGTCAAAAATTCGAGAAATCTCAGTATTTCGTTATCTATTCCTAATATTCAAAGTTCAATGAAATGCTGGAAAAAATCGTCTGGCGTATATCCACTTCCACCCTCGTCCATTAGCCCACTCCTAACTGCCACCTGTCATGTGAGTTGGAAATTGGAATGAAGATGATGAGAGAAGGTGAAAAGTGAGTAGACAATTTTTTCCAGCATTTCATTGAATTTTCATTATTGGGAAATGTTAAGATTTCTTGAACTTTTGTTGTTTAATCCTGATATTCAAAGTTCAAGAAAAATAATGGAAAAAATCGTACAGCAAGTTTTAAAGGTTCATTATAAAGAGAAAGTTCCAATATTCAAAACCATGATAAATTAACCATGGAAAAAATTTTTTAATGTTTTTACACGCGATTGAATTTTTATAGTTTTCGAGAAAAAAGTATCATTTTCCTACTCACTGTATGATCTAAAATTATTCTCGAAAAAAACGAGTTTGCGACTGTCAAAATATAGGCTTTACGTTTCAGAATGAGACCATGTAGATCGTTATATGACATTTTCTTACTTAGTTATATCAGTTTAAATTATCGACAATTTTTCATTGTCATTGGTATTGTTATGTCGATTACTGTACATCATGAAAATGATTTTCTTATACGTATAAAAATATAATTATATATGTATCAAAAATATACATTCTCAGTATTTAATCAATTCAACTAATATGTTCAATGTTTCATTTTAGCGTAATTTGTGTTTCATTTTAGTGTAATTTGTGTTTCAATTTAGTGTAATTTGTGTAATATATCTCATGGAAGAAAAAGCTGGATAGGAAAATCACAAGACGAAACCTAGCAGAATGGCAAGCTGGTTTTCACGTTCCAAGAACCTAATCTTACGAACCGCCTAAGTCTCTTGAAGGAGACATTCACCAAGTAGAGCATGGAAGCACACGTACGAGTTTCGCTCATTTAATTAATGCTTTTTCATTTAAAAATTAACACGATTTAGTAGATGACATAATGAAATTAACACGACTTAGTAGATGACTTATAATATCTAACTCAAATTAACTAGCTGCATTTTATTTTTCTTGTCATTTTTGTTTTTGTCATTCTTGTCATTTTATTTTTAATTCATGCTGTTTTAACATACAAGTATATTATTTCTTCTCTAAATTTGTCCTTTGATATTTTATAAATTTACTAATTTTATTTAATTTCCTAAAACTGCGAATTAAATAAAAATATTTTTTTGTTTAATAAAAATTGGAACTCAAAATTAGAAAATTGGAACATAAAATTAGAAACACAAATCATTAAAATAGTGATACTCCGAATTCAATTCTGATGTTTTTGATTTTTAAAATTTATCGTTTTAAACTATGCTTATTTACACTTGTCGGTTATTTACATTTATATTTACGACAATTTGATCTATTAGACACAGACGACACACTGTATAATTTTCATCTTCAATAAACAATATTTTATAAAGAAGAACAACATTTAACTTACCTAGAAACGTAGAATAAAAGGAAATCAAATATATTAATGAAATATATTATGAATATATTTCTCTGACTTAAAACCGAGATAATTATTCAAAACATGAGCGATCTCGTCGATTTCAATGATCTTGAAATACGTTACGAAGCAGAAATATTATACGAAGCAGCTTCTCCCTTTATATAGGTTCTCGGCTTTAGTTTCCGAGACGCAAAAATATTTTTAATTCTATATATTCAATGATATATCGCTTGGAATAAGAGGAATACGTTATTATACTCCGACTTTCTATGTTCAAGAGGTTGTTAACCTCTTTACCCTCAGTATTTTAATTCAGAGATTTTATCTCTGTCTCCCAGCTCTCGCTTCTTGTAGCACACTTTTGTAGCAAGGACAAATCTGAGATCCTGCTACATGCCTTACTTTGTGGCCTTTCATGCCTTTCTGTGTACATAGGAAACATCTAGTTTCCTGCTCGCATTGCACGATGCGGTGCTCAAGACTGCCGCATCTTCTACATCTCTCCTGATCGCTACTTAGCTCTCTACAAACGTAGCTAATATGCCCGAAATTATGGCATCTGAAACACCTCACCACATTGGGCAGCACCTTTACTGCCGCGGAATTGAAACCGGTCCTGAACCGGCAACCGTCTATGTTGCGCGGTAAAAGCGCATTTGGAACTTCGATAATTCCCCGCAAGGTCCCTGTATACGTCGCATACAGGCTCTTGACCTTCACCTCCTGCACAGAGGTAATGCCAAAGGCCTCGGAGAAGCTCCTCTGAACATCTTCCTTCTCCATAAATGGATCTAAATTTCTCACTTCCAGGGTAGTGATGGAACGCAAAGCGTTCACCTGAAACGTACCACCTATAGCCGTTTTAACTTCCTCCGCTATCCTCCTTGATTGGGTCTCCTTGTTTAACTCAAAGAGAACGTGGCCCTCCCGAGTTTTCCGTACTCTGAGAGTGCCACGCAGAATGTCCTTGGCTTTATCAAGCACCTGCCTATAGATCTTTTTAAAGTCCGCTTCCTTTTGGACCTTAACCATAATCGCCTCATTTTTCCTCTTCAAGAGGGGTTTCTCATTCGTTTCCTGCGCTCTACGCAGGGGAGAAGCTCCAATCGAAGCTCGCGCCGCTTTCATCTTTTTCCGCGACTTCGAAACTTCGATATATACCGTGTCCGACTGGGGCAGCGAAGTATCGCTGCGTTTGTCAAGCTCAGACTTCTCATTCTGCAGATTTAGCGGATTTTGATTCTCCGCGTTCTCAGCTCTTGGAGACACATCTTTCTCCTGAGGAGCTTTCCCCTGCATATGGTTCTCATCTTTTTGAGGCTTTTTCATAGGACCTTTCTTCTTTTTGAGGACGGTTTCCGCGAGAAGAGGAATCTCCTTCCCCTTTTGAGGTTTAGATCCCTCCCTCGGGTCTCCATCGGTCTTGTCGATCATGTGTACACAAAACGCTTCATCAGTTTGCATACCCATGTCGGTTCTCTTTACCATAGTCTGGGCCGCCGCATTTCTAACCACAGCCTTCCTAACTTGGCCAAGAGAATAAGCTCCAGTATCTGTTACGCTATTTTGTTTTTTCCTCTGTAGCATATGTTTCACAAAGTGCCCCGTAGAATAAGTCTTCCAAGCCTCGGTACTCACGTCCGTGATCTCCCGGACAGTGACATCCATTCTTTCCACTTGATTTCGAATTGTCTCACTACCTTTCTTAAGCAGACCCGCAACATTTCGCGTATTGTGGCTATAATCATACATTTGTTTATTCGCGCCACAAATTTGCTCCATTATCTGTCGGAGGATCCCCAGCTTTTCTCTGATGGAATTGTGAAGCGCTGCTGGGCTCAACTGTATGGTTTTTTTATCACCGAGTTCCGTATCCTTCTCTTCCTCCTCAGATACAGGCTGTTTTTCGCCAGAACCTTCCGAAGCATCCTCCCTTGCTAGAAATTCTTCTCCTGAATCTTTTATATCACTCACCGAAGGTGAGACGAGCTCACCGTCAAGATCCGTCCCACTTCCAGGATCTTCAGATCCTATCTCGATATCCCTTTCAACAGGGGTCAAAGGTGGAAAGTCTCTGTCCAATTCTAGGTCCAAGGCGTTCTTCCTCCTTGTGGACCCATGTTGAGACCGCCCGTTTGCTAAGCTCGTGCAAGAGCTAGGACCCGCTTTATGGGGAGTATCACAATTCTCCCCTAAACGTTCGTCTTTCTTCCCAGACGTAGGTCCCGACAAGGGAGGCCTGGGGTCCACCTCCCCTGCGGATGCCTTGCAGTCGACAGATAACCGTCGGGGGTGACCTGCTCGCTCACCAACCACACCGACGGGTACTGGGGTGTCCCTCCCCTGCACCGTAAACTTCTTTTTCCTTTTGTCTGAACCACCCATAGTTTAGTTTAATTAATGAATTTTTCGTATAACAGAAATAGCCTCTCCTGGTTGACCACTCACTCTTTCGCATCCTGTTTCAGAAGACCGAAGTCGCCCGAAACAGAATCCCAGGGAGCCCCACGTGGAGGTGAGGTGAGTGGATCCTTTGACCAGAGCAGGTCTCCAACTTCGCCGAAGAAACCCTGCCCACAGGCAAGTACCCAGGATCATTCAAAGGTAAGTACCAGATAGGACTTAAGGGAATCATCAGCTTCATCGGAGTTTTTGACCCTATCTGACAATGTACCGGGCCGAAACCCGGGGTGAATCTCCAGAGTCGGGAAAACCCACTCCAGTCTTCGCTCCCCAGGTTTAGGTTTGCCTAACCCAAACCTAATATAACGGCCGACAACGCTTTCACTTTATTAAAGTAAGTCACGAAAATAAATAATTTTTAATGAAACAAATTGCCGAAGAAATTGAAATGTTACTTACTGAAATGTATATTCTTGAATAACGTTACAAATTCAAAAATCATAAAAATTTACCCTTTAACAAATATGAAATATATTTTTATAATTATCTCTTATAAACTAAGGTGAGCGGCGATAATATGTATAGTAAAAACTTCCTTAGAATCATGTCTCCGATGACATATTCCAAGATCATTGAAATCACCTCTATTCTGAATAATTAGCAAAATGATTCTATATTCTTTTTTCTTTCTTTTTTATAATAATAAACATGGAAGATCCATACTAGACTTTATTTATGTATTTTCCATTTTTAATATTCAAGTTGATTATATAAAAGAATATATAAAAATATATTGAAAATAAAAGATATATAAAAGAATAAAAGCAATCTAATATAAAATAACGTTTTAATAATCCATAAGTTAAAACTAAGAAAAAATAAAAATGTTTATTTATTTCTTTTACTATTTTCTTAATATCATAAAAATTTTAAGCAAAAAAGTTATCATAAGAAAATAAATATTTAAAGAATTCATATTACAGAATTAATTTAAAAATTTAATGAAACACGGAAATATAGGAATTCACACTTTATTTATGATAATAAATGTACAACAACTACTTCTGAAAACAATTTTATTTTATAGAAATCCCAATTACTGTGACCGTTGCAACTACATTTTTCAACATTGATATTACATCAGAATAAGATGGAATTATCTAAAGGCATTATCTGGTATTACAGTTTACAATCAAACCTCTATTATTAATCTGTGCTTAGAAAAGGAATGGTGTATACATATAAAAACGAATAATGCCCTAGATAACAGAAACATTTTGATTGGATCTAAGTATAAAAGCACAATAGAAAAGTTAAAATATTTTAACGTCACAGATAAATGCATTGTACAGCAATCATGTAACACTCACTAATTATGGACCTTAGAAATGTAGGTAAATATTTATGAATTTTATCCTTATTAGATACTAAAATATAAATAGTACACACAGAAAAATTATTTTATGAGACGCACGGTTCATATACGTACGTTTTACTGTGCTATACCATTTAATACCATTAAAGGATCGATATTCCATGGAAAAGATGTGGATCTAAATCTTTTTTCATTTTTTTTATTATTCGATTTTGATATAGGAAAAGTATGTTGCTTATTTCAGGTAATAAGGAATATAAAATTGAAAAATTTTTTTATAATAAAAAAATAAAAAAGAAGAAATCATGTTTTAATAGATTCTATTTCATTGCATATTCCAATTTCAGTTGTAATAAAAAAATACAATACAATGCTATTGTTTTGCTAATTCCAAATTCAGATAGATTTAGTACAATTTTTTAAATATGAAAACTAAATCTACAATATTGAGGAAAAATGACAATGATTAAAATGAATGAATTATACATTAAAGATAGCAACAGTTATATGCAACAGCTAAATAAAAATGCAGTCATTAGAGTATCTAGTTGAACAATCTACATTTCTCCACAATCAGTTATTACAATTTTTTTGGAAGTCTTTCCACTCTGAGATCCCATACCCTCCAACTGAAATAAAAAAAAAACATACATTATATTCTTTCCTATAAAAAAAGGAAAAAAGTAGAAGCAATGAAATTATTAATCGTTTGAGTCTCATCCAACGCGATCGCACTGTTCAGATTTCATGTCAAAACCGACTACATTTGAAAGAAAAACTCAAGTTTGGTGATTTATCAAACATGTGATACGATATGTACCAAGATAATTTTAATTTACAAAATATATTCTAAGTCTTCTAAGTCTTATTCGAAGCCAAATAAGAAATTTTTATTTTAATTTTTTTCTTATTTTTATACATACAATAATCTCTGTTAATTATTCTTCCTATCATATCTAAAAAAATTCATTGAATTAATAAATACTATATTTGATAAAACTTCGAAGTTGCTTTTTCTCAAAAATGGAGTGTCAAATCAAAGAATTTTATTCTATATTTTTTCCTTATTGTCTTGTGAGGAATTCCATGTCCACTTATCCTGCCTACGTATTATTGACACTATATATCATAATATTAATATAAACAGAAACTAATATATCATGGACAAGCAGCATTTCAATTAACAAATAATTAAATTTTGTAACATTTATATTTATCAAAGCATGTCAGATGTAAAGAAACGCTATCACTCCGCTCCACATTTTTCGACAAAATTTATTAAGTGAGACTCAAACGTTTAATTTACTCTTTATCAAATTATAAGACAAAAAAACGAAATAAATATTTGTCAAAGAAAATATTAATGAATCAAAAAGTGCTATATATCTATTATAAGATAACATATTTTATGCTATAATATTAATTTATAAAATAAAATAAAATATGATATGATTACATACTTTTCTAACAACATCCATTCCTTCAACAACTTTTCCAAATACAACATGTTTGCCATCAAGCCAACTTGTTTTAGCGCTAGTGATGAAGAATTGACTACCATTTGTATTTGGACCAGCATTTGCCATGGAAAGAATACCAGGTTCGGTATGTTTCAATGAGAAGTTTTCATCGTCGAATTTCGTACCATAAATGGACTTTCCACCAGTACCATTATGGTTAGTAAAATCACCTCCTTGGCACATGAAGTTTGGTATCACTCTATGAAAACTACTTCCTTTATAACCAAAGCCTTTTTCACCAGTACAAAGTGCTCGGAAATTCTCTGCAGTTTTAGGCACAATATCGCTTCTCAACTAAAAATTTAATTAATGCACTTCTTTTAAAATATTGAAATAAACAAAATATTTAAATAAATATTTTAGAATTATTAATATATCACTCTTTATGTGCACAATTACATTTGCATTTAAATAAATTATATTAATTCTCATATATTATAACTAATAATAAATAAAATATCATATACTATAAAGATACCATAATCTACAAGTCATTCTTTTAAAACATACTGTATAGATTTGATTTACTTACTGAAGTGAAAAATTCTTCTATTTATATAACAACATATACGTAACATCAATAACTAAACTTATATTATAATAAAAATTACATTACAGTACAATTAGAAATGCTCACACCAAAATGCAAATGAAATTATTATTACCACTTCTACTCTGTCTATGACGCGTTCGTAATTTATTCGTGCTTTTTTTTTCTTTTCTTACGTTAAATTGCGAAAAATGATGAAAATCACAATACTTCAAGCTCATACAGCACTTAAAACTATCAAAATAATTCGTAAAAATTCCACGATTACACGTTAAAAGTTTCACCTGTGCGGAATACGTAATCAAATGTGTCAGCGACAATCAGTGAATGGAAAATTTTACGATTCAGAGCAGATCAGAAGAATTAATAACGCAATACACATTACATCTAAATCATCTAAATTATATTTTGCTACCATGAACAAAAAAATAAAAATTTCATCTTCTTAATACGAAATAACAACTTAGAATAATTAAAATACGTGTAATAACAATTTCCTGGGAAATCTTATTCGAAAATCGTTTCACATAACCGGCTTTCGAGAAAATCCAAGATGGCCAATCATGCCGGGATTCCGATGGTAACACGTTTAAGAAGTGGAAAGCACATCAATTGTGAACAATTTTTACTTACTTCCATTACGATGCGGCCCACGGGCTTATTATCCGCAGACATGTCGAAGAAAACACGCGGCAGACCCATCTTTTCTGCAACGGCAGCAAAACTTCGTGCGAGCACTGCGAAAAATGAACGTCTTGGTCGGGCGGTGGCTCCCAAATGGCTCGAATGGCTGAAGGTCGAATCAATTGACAGCCGGCAGATCGATCTCAACGCCATGTTCAAAGCCTGTTACTTGAAAAATCAATTTCAAACGGCGAGATCTCTCTTTTCTGTTGAGTAATACCGTTTCTATCGTTTCCCAAAGATAATCAGTTAGTATTTCATGAAGTTATTATGTAATAAAACCGCGATTTTCGGCTCAATATCGATAATTATTAAACAGCAAACGTGCTCTCTACAATCAACCAATCGAATGTGACATCTTCCATGACCATGTGAAATAACCAATAGCATGCTTTGTTTCTTATCATATAACAGAAAGAACAAATAATATTTTATTAAAATTCATGAAGTTGAGAAGAAATAATTGAAATGAAATTTTACATGAAAAATATTTGCTAAAACATATTATAAATTCGTGATTATAATTTTCTAATTTAAAATTAAGTATGTATGTATTCGTTACAGCGAATTATTCTAGTTCTGAACACTCATATGATTAATATCTTTATATGGTTGCGCCTTAAAGTTTCGTACCGTGAGTGACAAAAAGATTTATATTATGAAATTTTTTATTGAAAAATTATTCTCTATGTTATAATACAACACATAATAATACATATCGTTCTATAACTGGATATATTTTGTAATTTGGAAATTATTAAAAATATCTATAGTTTAAATCGAAAGGACGTAAAATCTCTTTAAGTGAAATTTGTTTTATCATGAAGTCAATTTGTTCATTTCTTCACTATTAAAAAATGTTGCATTTAATTTCACTTGAAATATTACTTACATATTACAATATTGTCTATAATAATAATATCAATAATATTGCCAAATATTTTTTTTATCATTTTTTTTTTTAAATTATAGTTTATCACCAAAATCTTGCTTTATTTCGTAATGACAAAATAGCATACAATTATACTAATACAACTCATTTGATATGATTAAAGGATGTTATGTCATGTATTGCCTTGGATCTTGATTGTGGACCAATCATGATACTATTCAATTTTATTGTACATTTACGCCGGACATGACGTTTCGGCATCACTGTCACCATAGTGGAGTAAAAAATATATCACTTGAATTTTTTACATTTTATTAATGCATTACTCATTTGAATACATTTAAACAATCGGTTATTTTAGATTTAAAGCCATTTTTTTCAAAAATATACACACTTAAATGCATCATAATGTTAAATATCAGCGTTTAATAATAAAAGAATGAATATTTTCGTTGAGTCTGTGGAGTACATATATTTCCGTAACTAGCGTACAACAGAATCAAATTAAAATTTGAACTAATTTTTTTTTATGATCATTTAAATTATAATTATTTACCTATAAACAATTTAGGGAAATTAATTATCATAAAAATTTGAAGTAACATTTATATTATATAGAAATTATTATTAATATGAAAAGAATTTTAAATTTAATTCACTTCCTGTACAAAGCAATACTTGATCTAAGTAGTCGCTGAAAAGATGGCGCCCAAGTGAAGGACGCTGAATTAAGAGTAGCCAAGATATTGTTAAATTTGTATTATTAATAATATTGCATATTTCTTAGGAAATGAGTAATCTTTCACCATTTGGAGGTGGTAAAAATCCACCGTGGGTTCGAAATGCAGGTAAAGTAATTTTATTATTAATATATATTTTATATTGTCGCCCCGTGTGCAAGTCAATGTTGCCAAGTTTCTATTACAATTTGTACAAGTCAATAAATATATTTGTAAAATACTCCTCACTAATATTTCATGCAATGTCAAAATGTTAAAAATTAACTTATAACATATTTTTTAATAATAAATACGAAATGGTTTATAACAGAGACAAAATGTTTAATTTATAATTATTTTTGAAACAAATGAACTTTTTATTTCTTTCTTTAACTTTTATTTATGTAGATAAATTTTATTCACATTTATCTAAATTTTATATCCACTCTTGCTGGAATAATCATTGTTTAACATAAATATAAATAGTTCTTTAAATATTTTTATAATTATTTTTCAGTTTTTATCCTTGAAAATGAAAATTTGTTATATTTAATTATATGTATTGTGTATATAAATTTAAGATGTTCATGAAATATGTGTACTAGAAATAAATTAATTAATTTATTGATGTTATAAATTATGCAATACACTTATAATATAATATATCCATTTAGAAATAATGAGAAACAATATATTTAAATATACAAATTTTGGGTATTTTATTTTTATTTATACATAGGGCAAGGAATCCAAAATATACAACAACAAATGTTAGGTCAAGCAATGGGTAGTATAGGTGGGCAACCTATGGTTCAATATCAACAACAGACCCAACAAGTTTATCAACAAAGTTTAGGATTACAACAAGTCAGTATAAACAATAAATTATATCAAAATATATAAATAATATTATAAAAATATATGGTATTGTGTTAATTTAAGGTTTTATGTGATATGTGTTATGCTTATTGTAATAAATTATTGTTTAAACAGTTTAAATTATTAAATATACATTTTCTAGTTTTTTTAATAGGTTATATTTAACAATCTACAGTTATAATTTTTATTCGTATATTTTAATTAATATGTATCTTATAAAATAGCCCAATATAACAATGGCTTCAATGGCAACACTTGGATCTAACTTGCCATCTGGTATAGCTGGTCAGTTATACCCACAAGTTGCCACTGTTTCTTATCCACCACCAAGAGCATTAAATACAAATGCATTTCAACCATCTGTGGCTGGTGTGCCACAGCAAGTTCAACAAAATGTACCTTCATCATCTACGAAACAAAGAGTTTTCACTGGCACAGTTACACAAGTATATGACAATTTTGGTTTTGTAGATGAAGATGTATTTTTTCAAACAAAGTAATGATACTATGCAAAAATGCTTTTATTATATTTATAATTTGAAATCTATAATAAGTGATATCAACAAATTTTTCCAGTGCATGTGTTAAAGGATCCAATCCTGTAGTGGGTGATAGAGTATTAGTGGAAGCATCGTATAATCCATCCATGCCATTTAAATGGAGTGCCACTAGAATACAAGTACTCCCTATGGGAAATAATAATAATAACACTAATACGCAACAAAATAATCAAGCCACTCGTCAACAACAACAGCAGTCACAACCACAACAGAATCGTACCTCAGGAACATACAATGCTGTTCCTCCACCTGCTGAAAATGCCAATAATAGGTAATTTATACTAGATAAAATTACACACATTTTATTAATAATAGATCTTGATTATATACAAGACTTGGGTATGTCATTTAAATATTTTTTGTAATGTTATGTGTAGTTTAATAGTAATAGTTTTATTGAAAAAACATAATTATTGGTAGATTCACAACTAGTGCAACAAATGCTAATACAGCTAGTAATCGAAATAAAGTTGGAAGAGTAAGAGAAAGATCTCCACGAGAACGAAAAAATGAAGAAGAAGAAATCGAAAGAAAAAGACGCCGTGAAGAAAGAATTAGAGAACGTGAGAAAAAGGAGGAACGTAGTCCATCAAGAACTAGAAGAAGTAAGTCCCCAAGACCAAGACGACGTACTAGAGTTGTACCGCGATATATGGTACAAATACCAAAAATAGCATTGGATTTGTAAGTATATTTTTTGTGCAATGTTACTAAGAATTATATAATTACGCACTCCATTTTTATAATATGTTTAAAACCATAGGATTTGATCACTTGTTATTTTAGACCTGAAGCAGATGTACTTGAGATAAGAAGGCGGTATCAAAATATGTATATTCCTAGCGATTTTTTTTCTACTAATTTTCGATGGGTTGATGCTTTTCCACCACATATGCCATTTGCCCTTAATAAACCATGCTCTTTTCATGTTATGCATAAGGATGTTGATCCTTGTACAGAAAATTCAGCAGTACTAGAACCTTCAGATGCTGATTACCTTTTCTCCGCGAAGGTTTGTTATATTATAATTTTTTAAATTACTAATAATATAACTTTTGAATATTTTTTTAATATTATTTTAATATATTTAAAAAAATAAGATGCATATGTAGAAAATTTTTTTATGATTTTAATAATGCATTATCAATAAATAGTAATTGATTATAATAACTATTTTATGAATTTTAATGAAATGAATGAACTCTAATAAATGTTATTTGTACTAATGATAATTTATTGACGACTAATTTAGTAATAAATAAATGATATATTTATATTCATTAAATTATATATATTATGTTATAGGTTATGTTGATATCTATGCCCGCCATGGAAGAAATTTATAAACGATGTTGTGGTGTATCTGAGGACAGAGATCCAGATCGTGATTATGTACACCCTACACGTTTAATAAATTTCTTAGTAGGCTTACGGGGTAAAAATGAAACAATGGCTATTGGTGGACCATGGAGTCCTTCTTTGGATGGTCCTAATCCTGAAAAGGATCCATCAGTATTGATTAGAACGGCAGTAAGGACTTGTAAAGCTCTCACGGGGATAGATCTATCCAGTTGCACTCAGTGGTACGGTTCTTCAAATATTGATATTTCTTTCTATTTTTATTGTTATCTTAAATGGAATTTAAAGCACTTCATAGAAAGAGCAACGTGATGCTATCTAGTTTTTCTGCCCATTATTGTTTCATTATTCGCCGATACATTATCAAGTTACTTAAAAAAAAAAATTAATACAAAAATTAAAAACTATCATCGATTCAAAATTTTGGACTCGTTGGCTCCGTCCAGCATTCTATCTTGTATAAATGTATTATATACATATTTTTTGACGGTATATAACTTGTGTTAAAGACAATGAGATAAAATGTTATAGCGTTAAGAAAGATCCGGCAGGTGTGTACCATCCTTGAAAGAAAGTAACTTTTAATGCCAGTTCTGAATTGACTAAGATTGTAGCTCAATCTCTACAGAAGAGGTATGTATTTGTTCTATACACGACCGACCGATGGAGATTGCTGCATTGGATCCTGTATCGAGCACCCAGATGATATTCAAGCAGTTGTGGCAGACAGATCATCACTATTGTTCTATGATCGTTGTGACCCACTCAGTTGTGCTTTATCAAACGGTCTACAATGTGCGCTGTGTGTGGCTTTGTATGCAGTGCGTGGGCTTTACGAACAAGCGAACGAACACTTAGCATATAAGGCAAAGCTAAGCG